CTTCTTCATCGAAGCAAGCAAAAGCATTTCTGATGACATCTTCTGGACCTGTGCCATTTAACTTTTCACTAAACATCATGAGGAACATGGTGAAATTTATGGGACCTGCTGCTTCATTCATCATGGCACTAGCTACTCATCAGCTGGATTTTCCTCAGGAGGCATGAATATCATGTAAATCTTCCTTGTCGACAAAACCAGCACTGTTCTGATCAATCATGTTGAAGGCCTCTTTAAAACTCCTGACTCTGTGACTGGTCAAACATGGCAAGTACATCAGAGGGCACGCGCTGGGGGCACTTCCTGGTGGTCTTGGTCCTCATCCTTTTGCTCCACATGGCAGTGGTTAGATCCTTCCATAGCCGCAAGAATCCAAGCGCTTCAGTGATCCTTCTCACTGCCCTCCCTGCCGCTATCACCACGATTCTACACCCAGAGCTGTTAAAATCCCTCACATTTTTGTTTAAAATTATACTTGGGTACAACAAACATTTGAAGTAAAACTTTTTACATTATTATATCCACCTTTCAAATAATTAAAAATACTACATGCCTTAGCACAAACAATAATCTGACTTACAGACACATTACAGCCATACAGATATCAGCTCATGGTGACAACATTTCATCCATCATCCTTACTTATTTATACAATTTTCATGAATTTACAGGTATACATGCTTTAGTGCTGTTTTTATTTTGTCGGCATTGGGGCTAATGATTCAGAGTTCTTTCTCCTACATTAATAATAATATGTATAATGACAAGTTTTTGGCTTGCTTTATAACATTTTGTCACATCTAACTTCTAACTTCCAAAATAACTCATTTTCAGATGTATTTTTCAGCATTATCATATAATGAATGCTTGGCTGAAACTAGGATAAGCTTTTAAAATAATATTAAATTACAATCAGATCACAATTTAAAATATCAGCACTAGAGTCAGCAAAATTACACAGGCATTCAGATGTCTGTAAACAGCACAGTTCCTAAGATACTAACAAGAATGGCAGGTATTTGTTTACCAACCAAAGTGGCACCACTTTAGCTGCAGTAGGAAATGTAAAATTTAGAGTTCACACAGCCTGCCAACTTGAAATTATGAGATTCCTGACAACAGTTTTGGGTTTTCACAGCAGTTTTGATTTTACTAGAGTAAGAACCTTAATATTGTTAATCTGCACAATTTCAAATTTGTATAATTTAAAAATTACATTAAGTATAAATAAGGCATGATTACTGGCTAATTTCAAAGTAGGTAATGAATAAAACTTTTCGACTGAACTTAAAAAAAAAAAAAAAGACGAGTAAGCTTTTGTACAAATGCTCAGAAATTCTTGCCGTTAGGTTTATTCCCAGAGAAGTCAAGATATCTGCACACTATTTCATGTAATTTGAGTTTTTGCCAACAGGGAAAGGCTGTTTTGTATGTGTATATGCAAGTGTGCATGCACATGTATCTCACATTAAGATCACTTTGTGGATCTATTATGATGCTGAAAATACAGATGGGCCACACTTAACCCCTTTCCCAAACAAAACTCCACTGGATAGCTGTCGGAATATATATTAAAAATGTGAAACTACATATAAATATAAAATCTAATTTTATAAAATAAAGTTTGACCTAGAATAGTCAGAAATACATTATAATACTAGGAAGTCAATAAACATGATAGGAATATAGGTTTATATAAACATCATGATCTCCCAGTTTGAATAATTTTCCTCAAAACAGACATATGAAGAATATAGGTAATGCAGAAGAAAACAAGGAAGTTTAATAAAAATAGGTAAATTTAGCCTTGACTAGTGTAGATTGAGTGCCAGCCTGTGAACCAAAGGGTCACCAGTTCTATTTCCACTCAGGGCACAGTCTGGGTAGTGGGCCAGGTCCCCAGTAAGGGACATGCAAGAGGCAACTACACGTTGATGTTTCTCTCCCTCTCTTTCTCCCTCCCTTCCCCTCTGTATAAAAATAAATAAATAAAATCTTTAAAAAAAAAATTTTTTTTAATAGGTAAATTTGATCAGAGATGTGTAACTGCCCCCTAGTGACAGAATATTACAGTACACTCCAAAAACACACAGAAGTTGGAAATAAAAATGCTTATAAATATGCATTGCTTCCAAAATTTACAACTGTTCCTTTTTAATCATTTATCCACTCATTACTTCACTTCATATACACTAAGAGATAAAACAGGAATGATTTTATTCTTCATTGCAGTCTCTTGGGAGAAAGATGCACAAGTAAACAAAGAAATATATAATTAATAAACTGTGATAAATGCTATGAAAGAAATGAACAGGATACTGTAATGGAGAATAATGAGTTTAGGCTAATAAGAGAAACCCTATGGTACTGGGTGACTGGGCAAAGCCTCACTAAGGAAGTAACATAAAACTGAGACTAGACACATACAGGATTTTCAAGGCAGGGATGGGGGAAGTATCCCAGGAATTAAAAATTGTAAAGTTTATACAAAATCTCAAAGGTAAAAATTTTGAGTGAGTTCAGCTCTTGAGAAAAGACCAGCACAGCCAAAGTGAGAAAAAGAGTAAGTAGAAATGGGGATGGAGGGTACCCAGATTGGGCCAGATAAGGCAGAAAGGTAAGGAATGTGGATTTTAGCCCAAGTGAAATGGGATGTTATTCATGGTCTTTAATCAGGGGACATGTCTAATGACAAATCGCCCAGCTCCTCGGCTCAAGAGCAGAAGATGGGCACAGTTCTGGATATATAGTAACCAGCCAGCCCCAAGTCGTGACTTCAGGGATAGAGAGACTAGGACACACTTTGAATAGAAGACATACTTCGGTCTACGGCCATACCACCCTGAACGCGCCCGATCTCGTCTGAATAGAAGACATACTTCGGAGACACAACTAACAGGAGCTGCTGATGGACTGGAGGTAGGGGATGGGGTAGAAGGAAGAATAAAATGGTCTCCAGTTTCAGGCTTCAACAGCTGAGTGATGCTCATTACTGACAAAAAAGACTCAAGAAAGGACAGGTTTCATTTGCAGGGGCGGGAGGGATCAAAAGTTGTTGTTTAAGTATGTTGACTTAAAAATACCTGTGCAATTTCCAAGAAAAGATATAAAGGAAGGATGCTGGGTCTTTAGTCCAAGGCTCAGAAGATGTCTGAGCTAACAATGTAAATTTAAGAGTTTATGGGCATCTAGGTAAGATTTGAGGTCACAGAACGGATGAGATCACCCAGGGAGAAATTGTAAAGAGACTCTGTACTTAGCCTCGTTTAAGTATAGTGTTCATCTGTGAACATGACTTAAAATGAACAATATTTAAAGGGTCTCCTGTATTCAGTTTTAGATTAATAAAATAGCTTGCCCCCATGTTGTCACAATAACTTCTTCTATATAAGAATAACATTTCAGACTTCCTGATTTCTTTGCATCTTTATTCTAGATGGTGAATTAGGCTTAACCCACCTTTTGTGGACCTAGTTTAGCTTATCTCAAGTCTATATTTACATGCCGAAATTCTGGACATGTTAGGATCTTTGATCTTTAAAGGTTCTCTGCTAAGTCTGAATAAGTGAACGCAGAAGTCTTTGCCAACTACTGAAGATGGCGCTGGCATTAAATTTTTTGTATTTCTGGTATTTGGGGGTGGGGGAGATTCTTTTAGTAATTATCTCTGTGTGATGAGATCATGGTAAGTATTTTTTAACTGCATTTTTTAAATTTGCTATAATGAACAGTGCACCTTTATTACTAATTATGTTAATAGTAGCTAAAGTATATTTAAAGCACTTGCTTTTTACAGCTACTGCCAGATTTTTAAGGCTGGGGGGAGGAGAATGAGAGTAATCCAACTTAAAATGCCATAAATCCTACTGTTCTTACAAAGTAGGCACTGTGCTAAAGCACTTTACTTCCACATTCCATTTAATCTTTAACAATCCCATGAGGTTAGTACTATTATAATCCTATCTTACAGACAAAGAAACTGAGGCATAAAGATATTAAAGTGGCTTGCTCCAGGTGTCATGGCTAGTAAGTGACAATGTTCGTCAATGAATCACAGTCTATAATGAACAGTGAATCTGTATTAATAACTACGTAATTAATAATTGCTAACTTCTCTTTTTAGTACTTGCTTTCTATTTTTTAACCCTCACCCAAGGGTATGTTTATTTATTTATTTACTTATTTTTAAAGATTTTACTTATTTATTTATTTTTAGAGAGAGGGGAAGGGAGGGAGAAAGAAAGGGAGAGAAACATCAATGCATGGTTGCCTCTCCTGCACTCCCCACTGGGGACCTGGCCTGCAACCAAGGCATGTGCTGTAACTGGGAATCAAATGAGTGACCCTTTGCTTCGCAGGCCAGCACTCAATCCACTGAGCCACACCACCCCAGGGAGGATATGTTTCTTGATTTGAGAAAGAGAAGAAGGAAGAGAGGAGAGAAAGAAACAAAGAGAGAGAGAAAACATCAATATGAAAGAGAAATATCAATCAGTTGCCTCCTATATGCACCCCAACCAGGAATTGAACCCACAACCTAAGTACGTGCCCTGCCTGTGGATCAAACCTGTAATCTTTTAGTGCACTGGACAACATCCCAACCAACTGAGCCACCCAGCCATGGCTTAAGCACTTGCTTTTTATATCTACTATAGTTTTGAGGATTATGAACCATAATCTATCTGATTCCAGTCTATTTTCCATCACGGTGCTATGTACTACTTTTCATTTGTGAAAGAATTCAGAGAAACTAAGGTTAGTTTAAAGTGTAGCTAAATATGAACTCGTACAAGGAAGATCAATTATACACACATTTATAGAATATACCCTGTATATAAATTACCAATGAGTTATTTACCTAAATAAGCCATTCATTTTTTTAATTGATTCCAGAGAGAGAAAGAAATACAGATGTGAGAGAGACACTGATTGGTTAAACAAAGAATTGAAACCTATTCAATAGTTTCACTTAAAAATTTTAAGGAATATTTCATACTCACCAAAACCATCAATGTCTAGATTATTCTCAACCACAACATCTAGCAGAGAGTCACCAACTTTTCCTTTGGTTGTTAGTATTTCACCATCACGGTTTAAAAAGTGGACTGTTATTTTATCTTCTGAGCTGGAAAGGAAGCAGTCCTTTATTATTTTCAGTAATTTCAAAAGATACTTTAAAATAATTGTTTTAAGAGCGTGTAAGGTCAAAGAAACAGTGGTGTGTGTGTATGTGCATGCAAGTAAATATGCCCTTTTACAGTATTTTCTTTCCAAAGTTCATTTGGGAAGAAGACACCACAAAATCAAAGGCATGTCTATCTGCCCACCTAGCAGGAGAGCTCTGCCACCTTAAAGGAAATGGTAGCTATATCATTACCAAGGCTATGTATCTCGCTGTGTACCATCTCTCTCTGTAGTGGTCATGGGACAGTCATGTGAAAATATTTAGCAATCATTATCACTCATGAAACTCCATACTGCACTCAGCAATTTGAGTAACAGTGTCTCTATGAATGTGTCCCTAAAAGACCAGACCATAGCTGTGGAGAGCTTTAGAAAAGCAAATCATTCTGTCATTAATAGGACAATTGTGTATGTGTCTGATAGGTACTGTTGCTTACAGGCAGCAGTTTGATAGTTTTCTGAACATTTGAATATCTTACTTTGCTCCACACTGTGTACTCAAATATCAGAGATCAGAAAATATTATTTGTTTGTTTGAATCTGTGGGAGGATAAATATAATAGTTCCTTATGTGTTTTATTATAGGATGTTATATTATCTATCAGCTAGCTGACTTAAATTTCTTTCCCTTCCCACAAACATCACAACAAATTTTGGGAAAACAACTTATACAAGCAACTAGATATCCTCCACCATTGATCACTTTAATTTTTACCTCACAATTGAAAATACATACTTCAGCTTAAAATGATAGTTGTAATTTTCACAACAGCCAGTAGATGGTAACAATCCTTATCAAAGAAAATTTTAATGTAAGTAAAACCTAGAATTAAATAATTCCAGAGCTATAAATATCTTGTAAATTATCAAATTAGTTATTTCAACAATGAAAAAAGAGAATTCCATCAATTAAAAATTACCAAAAATATGTGTGAAAGTCCCTCAAAAGGGCATGTACTGTCCAACTTTTTTCCAGAGCAAAAAAAAAAAAGTTTTCAAAACAAGTATTCTGAATATTATTCATGATATTCCAGGTAGGATGGCTGAGAATGAAGAAACTCTGAAAACAGGAAGACCACTTTGTAAATTATTAAAACAGCACAAATTAAGCAAGGATGTAGGAGCTATTGGCTTAAGAGATAACCAGGAGGAAGAATTAAAAGGTTCTGGTGACTACCAATATAAAATGAATTGAGAGAGAGGGAAGAAATAATGCTGAGGTTTCCAGCTCAGGCAATTAGGGGGTACAGTTTAAGACAGGGTTAACAGAGGAAGAGAAGGAGCTTTGGAGAAGACAGAAATGAGTTTGAGTTTAGACCTGTTTAATAATAGAAAAAAAATAGATGAGAATATCCAGAAGCCAGATAGAAATATGGATCTGAGCCTAGCAGAGCAGTCTAGAGACTTGACATCATCAAACACCTGGTAAAAGTGCAACAGAAAGAATTCCATCATTTGTACTTGCTGATGAAAGCCACAGGTTTTAGGGTTGCTATTCTTCCAGAGCACTCCGGAGCGAAGTTATAGCAAGGTAATTCGAAGTCTCTTTTACCTCAGACCCCTCTTTAAAAATGGGTTAACAATGTATGCAAAATACACAACACAGAGTAGAGTTCAACAAATACTGATTAGTAACTTTTATTTAAAGTTTCAGTCATTTTGTTGTTAAGAAGCCTGAACCGCTGCTATGTATTAAGAGGTGTACAGTCCCAGAAAAAAAACAAAAACAAAAACCCTGCAGGGTAAGAGTACTAATAGGTTTACCAAAGGACAGGAGAGGAAGCAGAAATGAAAGAGAAAAGGTAATTCTGTCACTGAAAAATATGGATGTAAGAAACAGATGTAGATTCTGGCCCTAGTTCTGACATACACTCATTAGATGACCATAGGAAGCCATTTACTTCCTTCTGGGTAAGATGGGAATAAGATTGACTTCGCCAAGCTGCTAAGAGAAGAAGAAAGAAGATAGAGAAGAGAAAGGTTGTGGAAACTTTTTTTTTCCTTAAAGCATGATATAGGTACTTTACCCAAGTAATTCTATCCATTCACTATTAACAGTGTTAGTGAGTTTTGTAGATTTCTACCCCAAATGTAACTAACAGAAAGCTTTTAGCTGTTCCCAAGAAGGAAAGGATTTCATACACTGGGAAATAATTGTGATCCTTCCAAATTTACCATCAATTAATCAGTTAACACCACAAACAACTGTGTTCTTCATTTGTTACCCCTTACTCACTGCCATTTATTCTGCTCAACCACAGCAAACATTTTAACAAAGCTGTCAGGGTTAGTTTAACCAAGTTCAGGGATGGCAATTACTGTTGCTGAAACCCACCCTTTTGCCACCCAGAGTAGCCTGGGATGGTTGGTTTAAGAAAAGGGCCCCCCACCTAGGGCTCCCTACTTCCACAGCCACCTAAACTCTTCCAAATGACCCCACGGACTAAAGAATTACCAGCTATTATGGCGCTCAAAAACTACATGATTTTTAGTCCTGGTTTTGCCAGCAACTTAATATGGAATTTTTATTCCCATTTATCTACCTCACAGGACTTTCTCAAGAATCAAGTGAAATAATATATGGAAAGCTCTTTTCAACTTAAATCACTACAAAATATAAAGTATTGCGTCACGGTATTTTGGAGTTAAACTTCAAAGTCAAAACTACAGCTTCTAGACTGCTCTGGCCAATTGACCTTTGTATGGTCTATACCTGTGATGTCTGATACAGCAGCTACCAGCTACTGAGTACTGAAAAGTTCAACTGCAAAACTGATTCTTTAATTTTATTTAACTTTGGTTATTTTATACAGCCACATGTGGTTAGTGGTGATCATACTGGACAGCATAGGAGCACAAGGCCATCAACAGAAACTGTGCCAACGAGGGGGAAAGCGGATTATGAGGGAATCAATGAGGGGGAAGGAAGGATCATAAGAGAATAGAACAAATGTGCTTCCCATTAAGACAACTTCATAATACCCAGATCCAAACAATAAGGGGGGGGGCTTATTAATTTCCATTTACAAAAGCATTTATGTTGATTTAAACACATGTCCCAATTTATAAACAATTTTTTAAGGAAGCATCTATTGTAGAAAATAAGGCACCTGCTTAGAGGGGAGGTCAAAAGCAGAAGTGCAGGGAAAATAGGGAAAAATAAATCCAGCTTGCCTTCTCCATCATTCCCCTCACAGTAATGCAACAAGTTTACTGAGCACCCACTACATAATAAGATTAAGGGGGAAAAGAGGAGTAAGTCCTACACCCTATTCTCAGCTACCTCCTCAAGAAGAATTTGGAAAAAACAGATTACAAATCCACCAAATCCATCAGTTTCTCCCTACCTCCGGTTCTAGCTTCCTATTATTGCGTGCCTGCAGGGAATCAAAGAGCAGTTCTGCAAGACACAGGGCCCCAGCATGCTCCTATTCTCTGAAACGAGGAGCACATTTTATCTCTACCTAAGGAGATTATGTCTTTGAAAAACAAATATGCCCAAGAATATAAAACCTCAACATATTTGAGGGAAATTTTCTCACATCTCTTTCAACAATTAACACAAAACAACACTGGATGCTAAGAAGCTACTGCTGCTAACAGCTTACATCTGAGCCCTGCTATTTGCCAGGCACAAGGCTACCTGCATTACCTGTATCCTCTCATTTATTCTTCAAATAATCCTGTGAGACCTACAAAATTGTTATACTCCACTTACCAATAGGAAAACTGCAGTTCACAGAGATAGAGGAAGTTAGACAAGTTCAGCAGTACGTGCCAAAACCCATTTTAACACCCTGTCTAGCCAGACCCACGCGGCGGCTTTTAACGCTGTATCAACAGCGTTAAACGGGAAGAGAGCATAAAGGGAAGCAGGAAGGGTAAGTGGGCGTATGCTAACAGGCATTCCCCTGACAAAGAACTGGAGAGAGGATGTCCTAACATTGCAGGAGAAAGACTCAATAAAAAACTGCTGACCGGGATCTCAATGAGGTGCATCTTACGACGGCCACTGCAAGTTCCTGGAATAGCAAAGGCTAGATTTAAGCCAAAACACAAAGACAACCAGTGGCAGCACAGCGCCCGGCTTTCCTGAGGACTTCGGAAAGGAAAATCGGGGGCCCTGGGTCCCCGTTTCCCGCCCGGCGTCAGTGGCTCGCAAACTTTGCGGCGTGTCCAGGAAGACAAGTGACGGCGTCTAGCTGTAAAACAGGGTCGCGAGGAGAGCCGCGGAAAAGGCGGGGTAAGAGGCGGGCGGTTCAGGGCGTGTGACCGACGCGCAGGCGTCCGAGAAAAAAAAAAACAGCAGGGCCAAAATCAGGCCCGGCGATCGCGGTCGCCACGAGACTGGGGCTGCCCCCTAGAAAAGAAACATTTAAGCCCTCACGCGCAGGCCCGCGCCTCACCTGCAACGCGCCGGAGTCGACACGCTCAGCGGCCGAATCGCGAACGCGGAGCCGACCAGGCCTGGCTCGGCGCTCCCGCCCGGCCCCCGGCTTCCCGGGAGGCTGCCGGCTCCCGCGCGGGCTCCGGCGAGCAGCCGCCACCGCCGGACTGCGCCGCCGAAGGCCACGGAGAAAGCGTGCAGAAGCCCGGCGCCCCCCGCGGCGGCCATAGCCGGCGGTCTGGTAACTACCGGATGCGACGCAGGCCGGCCGCACAACAGCGGCCGCGAGAGGCTCCCTGAGTGCCGGCGGACACCAGCGCTGGCGCCTGACGCCCTTGGGCTTCGAGGAGGGTTCCGGCAGGCTGAGGTGCCAGAGAGGTCCCAGAGAGGTCCCTCTCGTTCCGCGCGGCGAGGACTCCGCTAACCTTCTTGGGTGACCTATAAATCCTTCAGCGCTCGGAGCACAGCCCTTCCCGCCCCGCCCGTTCACACGCCTCCCGCAAGGGTGTTTTAGGGGGCGGGGCTAAGACTTAGTGTTTTGCGGGGTTTTTTTAAGCTACTGACCAGGTTTTGTCTTAACCTTGTAGTTTTGTTAAGCGTCTAGAGTTGCCACGCCAATACAATAAATTTTAGAAGATAGCTGAACGTCTGACAGAAAGATACAGTGAAAGAGCCCCCAGTTAACCCGCTTTTCTTCCCCACTTGCCTCTTACTTCCCCGCCCACCATTAAAAAAAAAAATTACGGGGTAGATTGTGTCATCTCGAAGTTTAAATTAGGGTAAAAGGGAATTCTGGGCATTGTCAAACAAGGACAAATAGGAAACTTCAGACATCTCAAAATGCCAATAGGCATAGTACCCAGAGGAATAATTATGACTCTAAAATTATGGATGTTGACAACGAATAAATTCGGGGACGCTGGAGGAGTCAAGTAGTAATCCTAGGCCTGAATGGCAAATAAATGCTTTCTGAGTACTTGAAGTGAAACCAGAAAAGCTGACATTCATGCTGCCTTTCACCTACCAGACCCAATAAGCAGAGACAGGGATTGTCTCTGCTTTGTGGGCACTTAATTCAGATGGCCTGAAATCTGAGAAGATGGTGGATTTGTATCCTAACAGACTATCTTACATTTCCTTTCAGGCCAGCCTTTTTTATAAGGGGGCAAAAGTGTAGGTAAGGATTTGGAATTCAGGAAAGAGATTAATCAGATAAAAGCAGCAATCTGGCAATTTCCCTAACATCCTTTCATCTGCTGACCAGTCATTTTCTTTATCTGTGTCTTGGGCAGCACACTGTCTCTTCCCAGAACACAGTGCCTTAGATACCATCTTTATTGCTTATGGTCTTTTCTGAAGCACAAAGGTCAATTGCCTGTGATCTCCTGCAGCCACGGTGGGCCATACCTGTGGTTCCTGAAACAGTAGCTTTTTACACACATTAATTACTAGGCTTATTAACTATGCCTTAAACTAAAATTTTCCAAATTTTGAGACCCCCATCAGTAGTTCATGAGACTTATGAAGAAATTTTGATAAACTGGGATTTTTTAAAAGAACTTACAAATACCAGAAAGATGTATTTTAAAATATACTTTATCATGGTTAATATGTTGTGGTGGAAAGAGCACGGCTTCTGAGGTCAAAAATTAGCAATGTTCAAATTCAAGGTCTACCACTTTTGAGCTCTATTGAGCTCTGAGACCTTGGATAAATTATTCTCTTAGAAGATCAGAGTTTCCATAACACTTTCACGGATAAGATGTTCCATCCTTCAGGGCCATTCTGGGGGTTAGACTAACACACACAAAGCACAACCAGTCTAGTGCGTCAGAAGCAATGATCTATAACTTCCTGGGCCTTCCTCCCTAAGGCTAGTCTTCTTTTTTTCTTTTTTTTTTCTTTTCCAGTGAGGCAAAGGAAGGGCCCCTAAAAACAGGATCAGTTGGTAAGCCCTGAGAAGTGGAGCTGCCCATTGTTCCCTTCCTTACGAGTTTCTTCAGGACCCTCAGAGCTTAGGATAGGAGAAGCACAGTACAGTACAAGCCTGAGGAAACTCAAAGAAGAGCAAGCCCCTAAGGCTAGTCTTAAGGCTACTAAAGGCAAAGTCAAGTGGATATTGCAAATATGCTAAACACAAGAAAAAATACCTTAAAGAATATTCAGAACAAGAAAGTATAAACCTGAGTGAAGACTCTTCGGACGACGTACAGGGGACATTTAATCTACTGGCAGAGAGAAGGTAGTCATTTAGCCCCTAAATTGCCTCAATCCAATCATAAAGAGGAGTTCAAGTTGGAAAGGACACAAACCCAAGTATTGGGCACAAGTATCACAAAAAAGGAGGTTGTGAAAGAACAGTTAATGTTTTTATAGGATTAAGTCTCCAAAGTCAGAAGAATTACTAGTAGGAAGAGTACTGGGGAAAAAAACGCAGATGTTCCCTGTCCTCTCAGCCCTCCATCCAGCTTCAACTTGATTATAGCACTTAAGCTTTATGCTTTGTAGAACAGTCGTTTACATACATAGTTCATCTTAGTAGCCCACACACTTCCAGGTGCAGGGCAAGGATTCCATAAGTATTTGTGAATAAAGTAATGTTATGTAACTTTCACTACCAGTCATCAGAATTCATGAAACATGCATGAAAATTAAAGATGGAAAAAAATGTTCTCCATATTTCCAAAGGCAGGTAAGGGTTAATTCCAAAGATGATATTTACCAATATTCACAAAGCAGTATTCCAGCAGAGACTTGTACACATATGGTTCATGGGCACAGATAAAAAAAGCAATATGGAATTGCTGAGGACAAGTTTTTGCTTATACATTTCCCTTTTTTATAAAACTCCTACCTCTCCATCTTTTACTCCTGTCAAAATTCATGCATATTTTGAAACTCATCTCAAATTCTCTTTCCCCTGAAGTTGTGTCTGTTCATCCCAACAGATCATCCTTTCTTCTGCTGAATGCCTAAGGCCTTTGTTTATTCGTGTAAAACTTATAGTATCAGTTGTTTCAAAAAGGATAATATTCATGAAAGTGTTTTGTGAACTTTAAAGTGTCATAATATTCAGATTCAATGTTTACCGAGCACCTACTCTAAGCGCAATGTTTATGGAGCACCTTGCTCTATGCTTCATCACGTATACTTAGCATAGCTCCTCCAGACTGAAGCTCCCAAGAGTAGGGATGCTCTTACTCATGTTCGTATTCCTAACTCCTGGCATAGTGCCTATCACAAAGCATCTATTTAATAATGTCTTTGTTAAGAACTGTCTTGGGAACTTTCACAATTTTTATCTCATTTCATCACAGCAACTCTGTAAAATAGGTTTGCCTATAAGCAATAAGTGCCTTTAATCAATAAATATTTGTTGTAAAATTGTTGCAGCACTCCCTGAACCTGAGGGAAACCATCTGGGGCCAGCTGAGATGAGAGCAGGGCTCTGAATTCTGCAGAGCCCGTCCTGGGGTTGGCATGGATGAGGGGAATAAACACGAATCACTGCAAACACTTATCTGTTTGACAGGAGAGGGAATGTGTCACATCCCTCTAGTGGGGAAAGCCCTGAGTTCCTTTGTCCAAAGGCTTTTATTGAAAAGGTTATAAGTGAGGCTAGGTTAACAGGAATGCACAGGTTATCTCATTACATCCATATGTTAATGTTTACAGAGAATGGGTGATGTTTTGAAGAAAACAAATGGCAGGAACACACCAATTTACATGGGTCTGAGAGGAGACTAGTAAACAAGAGAGATGATTACACATGAGAACATAGTAAACATAAGAGTGCCCAAAGGTATAGGATTTGGGTCTGTGAATAACGTAAATTTCCTTCCCGGTATGAGCTGGCTAGAGCTTTTGAGGGAAGAACAAAGCACACTTTAAAGAATTTACTTTTAGGCCTGATTTCCTGGGAACCACCAGATCTGGTTTAGGGCTGATCCCTTCCTGTATTGTTTCAAGCCTGAGCCAGGCCAGAGGAGGGAGCCACCACTAGACAAGGAGACTGCTTTCTGATAGAATGAGGACTCCCGGCCACATTCAAGCCGAGCCGAGAAGTGTGGGCCTTTTTGCCCTTTCTCCGTGTCCCCCAATTTCTTGCCTGCTGCCAAAATCCAATTGGCATCTGTCTTAGGCTGTATATCTCAGCTCAAGGTAACTCACCCATCCTTGATACCCAATCCTCCATAGCAAAGCAGAGAGGCAGAAGCTATGTCCCTGCAAGGGGGGCAGATTATGTCTCCTCAGGAGCCTGTTTCTCCAAGGCCTCCTGATTATTTCCAGCCTTGGGGCCCTCCAGCCTGTCAGCAGAGTTACAGTTTCTGAAACCAGATAGGAAGTTTCCCAACATAAAATCACTATGCTAGTGTGGAAACACAGCAATGAACAAAACAATCCCTAACCTCTTTTTTTTATATGAGGAAACTGAGGTGCACAGTTGTGAATTTCTTAGAATCCTACTGCAAATCTAAAATTTAAATCTAGGTATTCCTTGTCCCCAGTTCAAGGCATAAGCACAAGAAATGATCATTTTGTTATTTTTATTACACAGACAATCCCTGACTTACAATGTTTTGACTTCCAATGTTTCCTTTACAATGGTGGGGAAGTGATATACAGTCAATAAAAACCAGCTGGGCTAAGTTATGATATTTGGTAGGTTAAGTGCATTTCAAATTTATAATATTTTCAATTTATAATTGGTTTAGCAGGATGGAATCCCATCATAAGTTGAGGAGCATCTCTATTTTATTATATATTTACATATATTATTCATTGAATTTTATGTATTATATTATTAATATGTCATGTATTTTTGAACTCTACATTTAATAGTAAATGCTTAAGTTTCTACATGATCCTTGTACAGGCATACCTCAGAAATATTTTGGATTCAGTTCCAGGCCACCTTAATAAAGCAAATATCACAATAAAATGGGTCAATCTTTCTGTTGGTAGAAGGTCTCGTCTTCAGTTTGTAATAAAATACAACACTTGTGAAGCACAATACAGTAAAGCATAATAAAATGAGGTGTGCCTAAAATTTACGGATAATGTCAGAAATTACCATTATCTAAATTTTTAAAAAGGAGTATGAAATTAGACCTAAGTATATTTCATCCCAAGAAATTACTCCCACCATCCCCAGGTTATTTGCTAATATGGCTGATAATATTGGTGAGTTTTCTAACTTCAAATTAAAAAATATAACTGATATTTCAGAAAGTACTATCTTTGTCTTAATTGTTCTTCCTACTTGCAGCCTTTATTTTTAGCTCTTGAAATTTTTATTGTTATTTATTTTTTAATATATCTAGCTCTTGAAATTTTTATTTTTATTTATTTTTTAAAATATATCTTCTTTAAGTATATTTTCTCTCTTCTTCTTTTTTTCTTTAATCTTTATTGCATTTTTTTTCCATTACGATTTAGTCCCCTTACACTCCTTCCCCCCACCCAGCA